TAACAATGCCTAAGTATGGCGCATACATCACGTAAATAAGTTACCTAAAATGTTTGAAAACCAGCTTAAAAAGACTGTGACATGACATCATGTCACACGGTCCCACGTGGCCGAAAGAGTTCGGTATCACGGTATATACGGTATCATACCACACGGTCGTCAACATTTTAAAATGCCGAAATTTCAAGCCACTGTGAAACACACCAAAAACAATCACACTTTTTGAATAGACCTAAATTCTTAGATGTTTAACGGTAAGGGCACAAGAATAACACCGATTCACAATCCCTACGTCATTTCTGAGAGTTCCATACAGGAACATTAAAACTGCGATTCTACTCTGCGATTTTCTTATACATTTCGGCACACACCACTTTTATATTACTCTTCTTGGCCATTCTAAGTGCTTAGGCGAACCTCCTTTGGAGAAGACCTATCGCTACCATAGGAAAAGAAAAATGTGAGAGGGGCCTAAATAATTGTCGATACCGAGACAAAGACTGCGCGTTTACAAACTTTTATTAGGTCTTGCTAGCACACCTGAGACCACTCCCAACAGGGTCACCGATAAGTTGGCGGAATTGCAGTGGAGCGGTATTTCTGACTTTGCCTTCCCTTTGGTAGTGACGAGAGTTGGAAAAGCCCCAAGCCGGTTTTCAGAGAGGATCGGCTGGGTCCTTTTTTCTTTCTTTTTTTTCATTATAAGTGCATAGGAATAGGCGAAAATACGTAATTGACGCCTACAAATGATTATACATACCCCTAACACCTCCTCTCTCCCACTCGACAGCAGTTTTGGAGGGAATTCTTGGAGTGGAGGTGGAGCGTGTACTATATCATCAGAGTCAGAATACTATATCCCAGGAAGTGAAGTCGCAAATTTTTGGAATCGGCATATCTAAAAACTCGTGTTACATACTCTGAGCATAAGTCAATCGACTATTGCACCAGCTTGATTGGGAATGTTTTTTTTTCGCGCGGAGGGAATAAAACTGAATTTCTTAAAAAGGAGAGAGAAGGGCTTCGTATCTAACTCGTTCAATTTCGGCAACTACATTACCGGCAAGCTTGGAACAACCAATTATCGCTCCCTAACTCTATTCAAAAGCTGGTTACTTTGAAAAGATACGCGACCAATAAGAAAACCTTCAACACAGATATTAAAATTAACGAGCCGGGTAAAACGGATTCAAAACATTATATTGCAATAAGTGATGAAAACATACCTTTGGAAGGTGAAGACATAACAGACGGACTTGCCACGGGTGAGGAACGAGACCAGTGCTGGAAGAACAGCTACTTCAAAAAATCATCGAGTGTAATACGCAAACGCATGTAGTTCATTAGAATGAAGAATATTAAGCACCTGCATCCCAAAAATTGCCAAAACTTTCAAAAGTACGAGGAGGTTTTCTCTAAGAAACAACGAAAACAATCCTAGCTCTCGAAAGTATCCTGACTTCGAAAAAAAACCACTGCTTTTCTAAGAAAACCAGAATTGTCAATGAAGTGACAATCAGAAGGCGCACCATTTTTTTTTCAAAAACGGGCAGAATAACTAAAAGATGATTTACAAAGCTTGAACGACAAAAGGGTAAAATGTACTAATTGTCACGTGAAGAAATTTTGAATTCATCGGTGGGGTTTCTTAACATTGAACGATCTGGATGTTATTATTTGGAATTTTCGGAAAATATATACTCAGGAGGAAACCCGTTTGATTTATGCTCTGACAGCAGTTGTAAATAAATAAATAAATAAATAAATAAATTTCACCTGGTAGGGTGGGCCAGGAATTACGAAACCTTCATTGTCGGGATGAACAGCCGGACCACCAAGACCAACTTGATCAACGACCATGTGAGTTATTCGGGATGGGTCCAGGTGGCCCAAGGGGCTGTCCACGGCACGATTTCGTTCCTGAACAGAACAACTTGACAATGGATTCCCACAAATTGTAAGAGGATATAAGATTTGTATTACAAACGCTATTAATACATGTAACGCTGGTAAAAAAAACCAGCTGTATGAGGACATTAATAGCAAACAATCAATATGAGTTTTTCTGTATGTATCGAGGACAATAACAGGCAACTTCATATTTATTCACTACATGAAAGCGCTGAAGAAGAGGAAGTCATGAAAACGAATATAGTAAAAAGATAAGCTCAAATCGAAGCTTCGCCGCTTTGGTGGAAGTTTTCCTCTTCCCAAATCGTCCCTACAATAACCCAGTAGTTAAATTCAAGTGTGCATTCTTTGGAAAACACTGCTGCCTCGAACAAGTTCCTATGCCTTAGACCTACTCTGCTTTACCGCAACGTTTTTCATGACACGCTTGCCTTCCTGGCGGAGTTCCGATCTCTGACTTTTCCCAGGTCACGTTTTACTTCCAATGTAATATCAGTTTCTGTTTGATTTTTGTTTGCATACATAAAGTAACACATACATGATTTTCAAGCAGCTCCGGGCAGGAGAACAAACGAGACCGGAAAGGCGACGCAGTATAACACAGGATCCGAAACTGCGCACGATCGTAAGGCCGATGTCATAGTTTGAGTTTTCGCTAGCGAATCGCTCCACTCTCAAACTATGACATCGGCCTAGGCTACCACTTAGCCCACAAAGCAACGCGCTAGCACCTCATTCGTAAGTTCTACCCGGTTCACTCCATAAAACGCCAATTAAAATTAAGTGTATTAAAATCTCGAGGAAGGAATTTAGTGCATGAAAAGTCTAAGTGAACAAAAAAAGATCACCCACCGTTTGTTTGAAATCATCTTCACACTCCATAACATGTTCAAAACTTCGACTACGGCCATCACTAGAAGACATTGGGTATCCGACCAATAACCTGGTAAGAATTTTTGACACAAAGAATCGAATGGACCGATACGAGGCACGAGACGCAGAAAAACGGAAAGCAGTGGAAATATTGGAACCGCAAACCGGTAATCTTGAAAAATACGCGAAATCAAAAGAAGGTGCTTCAATGAGATCATTAAATGGATAAAACATGACAATCAGGTAGTTCATGGCAGACATTACTATGAGCTGTTATTATATTACTATAAGCTCCAAACGTAGTTTAATGTAAGAACCGAGAGGAGAATTCTGTGGTGGAAGCTACACCAAGTGGAGAAGGAAGACTTCAAACAACTAAGCAAACGAAGCGTGTTGAATTCCAACAAGTGTAAAATAAGCAGTTCAAAACTAAAAGCAACGTATGTACAAAGTGTTGTGAATCGCACAACCCATGAGAAAGTACTTTCAAAGCTTCGCATCGATTTCGCTCATGACAGCTTTGAAATTCTCGTACTGCTGCTTAGTGAGACTAATGCCTTTCTTGGATGGACGCAGCACACCTGAATCCTGCAAATTCACAATAAAAAATCAATGCAATATTGTGAAAAAAAAGTAAGAAAAGGTCGACAGATGTTACGACAGAATCCACAAACTCTATCTGAATAGAATTCACGAATATCAACGAGCATCTTTCCTCTGTAATTTCTAGCCGTCACATATCGCATCCATCCCAATTCGAACATCTAGAAGTAACAACTTGAGAACACTGGCACAAATCGAATTATCCTAATATGAGACTAATCATAAGATCAAACTTCGTTAGCCAAGCTAGCATCACCTTGGCCTCTTTCCCTACTGAGAACTGAGAATATGGGTATGGGGACGCGATGAGTGTGTGTCGTAGGGCGCGGCCCTTCGCAGCAACCCTGCCATCGGGACGCATGGACTGTAATGGACTTTAGTGGTCTCGTCTGTGCCCTCTCGCTTTATTAGCAGCTCACGACCACTGTGGTCTCACACGTTCAAACTTGTCAGCAGCATAGGTCCCATCTAAATTGATAGTTTCTTTGATTCTAGATTGCGGTGCTACATTTCATTTGCAGGAACCCTGAAAATGAATGAGCCTTGCAACGAGCTAAATATCCTACTATATATAAGCGGCTAGCGTGTGTCTGTTGGTGTGTGTGTGTGTGTGTGTGTGTGTGTGTGTGTGTTTGACCGGAAATTCATAAGCTCGAGTCACAGTAATGATAGCGCAGTGGTTCTTACATATGTTATAGGGGGTGGGATGGGGACACAAGTGTGAGCCGTAATATGCTGCCATCCGATAACTCTTCACCCCTCCAAGCTCAGTCCTACGGCTCTTTAGCCAATCCTCCCTTCAAACTATTTCTAGGTAACTGTAAACTAACTCAGAGGTGGTTGTGTCTCGATCGTTTTGGAGTTGTGATACGCCCCACTTCATAGCACAGTGCGTGACAACCATTCCTATGTGAGGTGAGTCCTTCAATCATTTTTGTTAGGGAGAGCAGTTTATTAATCCAGTTTCATTGTAGTTTAGGTCTTTTCATTTCCGCTCATTGGCAAATTTGCTCTCTACTGTATATTGAAAGATTGGTACAGTACTTTCGTTTCTTCTGCTATTTGATGAAAACTAGGCGATTATTGAAAAGGGGTCCATTGACGGAGCATTCCGCGATGTTTAATCTTATAAACCATTAGTTTCTCTTGAAGTTGAGGTTGAACATATGTCTGAAACATGTGCGTTAAACTAGCCAGTGAAGATGTCTGGCTGGCGTGCTATTTTGGCCACTCAGGAATACATACTACACTAATCGGAGGTTCTTTCGCTGTCATGAGTTCAGTAACTCTCAGAGAAAACCTTCCGTTAGAATATCTTTCCTCCTTTCCATTGCTCTCCGTAGAAGTAGAGAGGCATTGAGAGACCATGCACGTGTTGTACGATATCGCAAGGGAGAAAATAATTTAAAAAAAGGTGAGCGCGGACCAAGTTTAGGCAACCCCACGCCACACCATTGGAGATACGAATGGAACATCTTAAGTAGGCTAATACACTATTGATTTCGTGATCCTAAAATGGAGTGTATTTGTGATGGATTGTCTATATTGGCGGGTCTCCGGTTACAATAAATATCGTGTCTCCATATTTAGACACGCTACGGGTACCGTGGGGCTTGAATTCGAATAGGTGTTGATTGGAAGTGTTTCCCAGGGCGACAGATTCAACTTCTGAGTTGCCCAACGCACATGCCAACAGCATGCCTCATCCCAATCCCGATGTGTTTAGGATTTCCTTAGGTAACCCTAACCTCTTATTTGGCGAGTGCACCTTAACAGCTAGCTTAGCACAGACGTTATCCTCCTCGTCATCGTAATATTAAATATGACATGCGCTATGCTAACATAAAAAAAAAAAAACATAAAAAGCATCCAACCTCTTCTCCGTCGGCATTTCTCAAACGACTGCCCCCCTTCTTGGACTTCTTAACTGGTGTTGCATCTACCACCCCTTCATCTGAAGACGAGTCACTTTCTACCTGGCGCTTCTTTGGCTGAATACGAAGAAAATATCAAAAAGGAGTAGGAGAACATGTTTCCCACAAACTTACCTTTTTTGCTTCCTTTTTCGAGTCATTAGTCGATTTATCCTTCTCTGACTTCTTTTCCTCTAATTTCTTCTCCTTTTTTGACTTCTTCTTCTCTGATTTCTTCTTCTTTTTTGACTTTTTTTCGTCAGAGGATGAAGAAGAAGAAGATGATGATGATGATGACGATGATGATGACAAAATCTAGGAAAAAAAATTCAGTGCTTCATTACACAAGCGATCTTGTTCATCGTCACTCCAATAGATGGAACACAATCGATGTAGCGTAATTTACTACATTCTCAAATGAAATCGGTTCATTGAGCAAAGCTACCAGTAGTAGGCAACGATGATATAGCAAGTGTAAGACGAAAATATAAAAAGAAAAGCGAATACAAAAAACACATGGAAGCAACTCTTCAGCAGGTCTTTCAGAAAAGGAAGTGAACTGGAATGCTCATAAAATAGAAATTGGAATGAGTATAAGCTTTCAAAATTGCTTTTTAAATAAGCTCCTTAAATCAGTTTGATTTCAATAACCAAAGAATGGAACCCTGTGATTGAGGTTGCTCTACAATAGAAAATTTGAAATCCCCAGCAAACTTGCGCCAGCGGCAAAGTGAGTGACACGATTACGAGAGCTCGACGCTTTTAACCTGAGTATGTGCACA